TGTTGCTGTTTCTTATGCTTGTTGTTTTAATTTTTCTTGAATCATCGTTGCCCTTGTCATTTATGTTGAGACTTCAATGTATATGTACTTGCTGGCAGCATTTTTCAAGTTTTAAGTTAAAACAGCCATTGCTCAGTGATGATACGATAAACGTAAATCTGAGAGCAATTTTGAAAAACAAAAATAAGTTCCTGCTGAGTCCCTTCTGCTTATATTATTCCTTGCTTCTGATAAGTTGTTGATCTGTTATTGCGTGTGCTGGTTCCTGCTTGTTGCTGCTATTTCCTCTGCTCTTGGGTGTTGTGCTGCTGCTTCAAGATTCTGCTTCAAGATTCTGCTCCCAAATCACTCACATTCTCACTCCTCCCTTCATCTTATCATGTATCATTTTTTGCAACCCTAAACTTGATGATATTTCAGTTGATAAATCTGAAATCTAATCTGGGTAGTAGTGATAGTAGTTTCATTATGTATTGGTATATGTATTGTGAATTTTAATCAATGAAAATGGTGACTTTTTTTTAATTGCTTGTTGATATTACTCTAATTTTAATGCTATTTATCTGCTGGATTTGTGGTAATGTTATGAAATAATTGTGGCTACAGATTTGGGATGCCTCCGTATTTATTAAAATTCATTTACTTAATATCTGGTTTAATTTAAGAAAAGCTAAAAAATGTGTTTTATAAACATTTTAGTCCTCCCCTTTACAAAATACTTGTATAAGAAAGTTTTATAAAGTGATAATATGAATAATTGTACGCCTTATTGACTAGTACAGTAATATTCTAATGCTTATGCCACTTGTGTAACACAATCTCATACATCTCCAATCTTATGTTACCTTTGAGGCTTTGAGTGTTATTGGATGATCATGAATATCAAGGAACAATGAAGATAATTTGGGTGGACTAGCATTATTACTGGAATGAAAATGATACAATTATACAAATAATATATCTTGTAATTAAAATAAATAAGTAATCTAAAACGATATTAATAATGTCGTTGGCCTAGATCTAGGTGATATAAACCTTTGTATAAACCTAAGCCGTTTGATTAGATCTACATTTATTAACATTAATTGTATTTACTATTTAGCCATTTAGGTTGTAAATAATTCAATTTGAATTAAGCAGTTTGTAATCGGATCAGTTTAAACAGGTTGCGATTCGAAAACAGTTCGATTTTAACGGTTTAACGGGTTATGGCAGTTCAGTTTAGACGGTTAGCGGATTATAACGGTTTGGTTTATACGTGTAGTTTAAACGGTTTCGGTTCATAAACGGGTCGGTTTAAACGGTTAGCGGGTTACAAATGGTTCGGTTTAAACGGTTTTTTTTTTCGGTTTAAACGGTTTCGGTTTATAAACGGTTCGGGTCATTAACGGGTTTATAAACCATTCAGTTCGGTTTCGTTTCGGTTCGGATTTGCGCAGTTTGGTTTGTTATCGGTTTACGGTCCGTAACGGGTTGACATTGAGCGGTTCAATTCGGTTTCGGTTTGATATTGAACGGTTCAGTTCGGTTTTCGGTTTGTATTTATCGGTTTATAAACGGATCGGTCCGTGATGGTTCGGTTCGGTAACGGGCGGTTTCACGGTTCGGTTTGAAAAGTCCCACCCCTAGGTAGTGGCATTGATGTATTTCGTGGTCCCTAATGTAGTACTCCGTATAAGCCTAATTTATACCATGCACAGTTTTCAGGTAAATTAAGAATACGACTACTACTTTGCCCTACATATATATATATGGGTTCCTATATATATATATATATATATATATATATATATATATATATATATATATATATATATTCATATTTCTTCTCACATTTCTTATGCTTTGTATTTCAATGGACCTTCTTCATTCCGTGCATGTTCCTTAGGTTTATAAATATTAATTTAAAGGAATAATATTGTCCCCCAATTTTTAAGCAATTTCAGGTGAATACTTTCCACTGATTCTAACCTATCATACTCCTACATTTGGCACATGGCAAGGCACACTGACCTTAGCTAACTCACACAAATGACCTGAGTTTGAAAAAATAAAATATTGAAAGAGTAAACTCTCCCAACTCAATTACAGTCAAATTAATAGTTATTGAACACAAAAATCATGAACATCACCTAATTGTGAATAGATAGATGAATTGTGTAATATACAAGAATAAAAAATAACCCTCTAATATCCTTGTCAATTAGGCTTGTACATCTTTTAATTTTAATTTCAAGCAAACTGTTATTCTGTACATTAAACAAATTCCATTAATTTTTTTGTTTAAGACTATACGCGGTAATAGTTTTGCATAATCAAATAAAGTTTTGGTAGAGTTTATTGATCACACACACCACATTCAAATCATTAATGTTATTGTGTCGGGTTAGAGATTGGAGGTGACCTATAAATGAATGAAACCATACGGCCATACCTAGTTGTAAGGGAAGAGAGAAACAAGCAAGAGCGGGGAGGGGGTGGAATGTGGACCCAAAGACGCTTAGATGTCGGTGATATGGGTGGGTCTCTCGAAAACCTCGCCGGCGTTAAAAGGTACGCGGCACCTAAAAGTGTAATCTTAAGATTTAAATAATTAATTAATTAATTAATGATTGTGATCATCCTAATTTAGGATTCAATAATCAGACTAAACATTCCAATGTTTATTGAATGCGGGTTACTATTATCGGGCCGATAAATAACCCAACCACTCCTCTGACCCTTTTGCAGCTCCTTCTTTACTTTGATTCCTTGCTGTTTTTTTAAAAAATAAAAATAAAATAAAATAAAATAAAATAGCATTAGAGTGACATTAAATTTTATCACAGTACAATGCCCAATTCTTTTATGGTTTTTGATATTAATGTCTTACACCTTTCATTTACTACAACACTTTTTGTACTATGCCATTTTTCAATTTGGTCTTTTTTATTTTTATTTTTTTTTGAGCCACATGGTCTAGTAATGAGAATCGATTCAAAATTTCTCGAAATTGGAAGGGAAGATCTAACCACTTGAGCTATCCCTCACTCTCCCTTTTAAGTTTTTTGTATGTGGTAAATTTCAAAGAGCATGCCTTAAGATTGACGGTTTATAGTGTTATTAACAGTCAAATTAAAAGATTGCTACAGAAAATGACTCGTATACCTCTTTAACAAAATAAAAAAAATAGTCTTACCATACACGTAGTACAAATTTAACAAAACATCACATGACTTACACAAATAAATTAAACTAATATATTAAGGACTAGTCACTGTCCCTCTCAATATAATCTTCTATGTGAGATAATTATTTCAAATTTTCAATGGTATATAATAAATTATTACACTCAAAATTAAAATTCCATGAATTGTTTTCAAAATGTTGGTATTCCGATCCGATCCTAATCTGATATATACGTAGCTTAATAAGCCCAAGTCAAAAGAGTGAACAAGCACTTGTAAATTATATAAGTATAAGGTCAATTAGACAAAAGTGGTGTATGGATTTGATAAAAGGTGGAATAATTAGTATTCCAAGTCTAAGAAATAAATTCAACTGGTAATAACAGTAGTAGGTCCATTGACCATGGCAGTAAAAGCATAGTATAAACTCCTTAGTCCTTAAGCAAGTAAATGAAAATTTACAGTGGTAAGTACGAAGAACAAACATAGAAGTATAATTTAGAAGTAGGCTTAAAAAAATTTCTTGGAATCATTAATTAGGGGGTCAATCACGTGGAATTGAATACAGCTTACGGCATAAATGAATGAGATAAAAAGAAAGTGACACTGAATCACAAGTTACGCCATTCTACCACCTCCCCTGTAGCTATTTCATCTCTTTACTCTCTAGCTCTTTCTTTGTTTTTTATTTTATTTTATTTATTTTTTATATACATTTTTAAAAAGTATATACATATTGTATTTATCTTAAAAATCTGTTCTTTGCAACTTAATTTCAAATCAGCTCATTTCCTAATTTCCTTCTCACTTAAACAATTTAGTTCTGATCAGTTCAGTTTAGTCTCACTTCAGTAAATCAGAACAGATCCTTAGGGCCGTTCTCATACGTTTATTTTCAATTCAGTTCAGTTCAATTCAGCTCAGCTCAGTTCAGTTCAGCTCCTAATTTTCTTCTCTTATAAAATATTCATTTCAGTTCATTTCAATTCAGTTCGGTTCAGTTCAGTTCAATTCAGTTCAGTTTAGTTCAGTTCAGTTCAGCTCCTAATTTTCTTCTCTTATAAAATATTCATTTCAGTTCATTTCAATTCAGTTCAATTCAGTTCAATTTAGTTCAGTCTATGAGAACAGTTTCTTAGTCTTTTAATCAAATTACTCATGTTAGGATTTTTATTTTGATGACACCAATCTAATCATGCATCATTTACCTAACACACAAATTAAAAACCCCTCCCAAAGCTAATGAAATACTTGGTATGGCTTATCTTATTCTATAGCATGGAGTTGTGGACAAAGTCTATAAATGGATTAGTCGATTCAATAACAAAAATTTTCTTGAAGAAAAAGTGAATCATGATGAGTTGTACTTAGTATTGAAACCCTCCTAACCAATTAAATATTTTGAATGGCTTATCCTTTTTCAACCATAGGTAAGTTGATAAGTTTTTAAAGAGTTTAATTAACCACGTATATGTCTAGTAGTAGGAGTAAGGTTTTAGCCTAAAACAGTTGGTGATAGATGAAATTGTCCACTAACCTTATATATAACACGATAGAATCAATAGATATTCTATCAAGCAGGCTAAATTATTCGCAAGTGAAATATTTTTATAGCATAACTTGACTACAAATGTACACCTTCCATTTTTTATTATTTCGTAAGTCTGTAATTCAGGAGAATTGTATATTAATATTATTTATATCTTTATATGGAGTAGTTTTAATTAATACTCGTATGAAATACAGAGTAAATACTTTTAAATAATGCATTCACAAAGTAATATGCTCCGTACTTGTTAAATTAAATGGGAAGAACAATTATGATGTGGAGGAGTAATTTGTAGATGAATGAATGGGAATGCATAAGCTCCCTATGATGGATGGAATGAAATTGAAGGTGGTGGTGATAGCCAGAGCTCAGTGGTGTGGTGGGGGGGGGACCCATAATCCTCATCTCATACTATCTGCTCAGCTTCAACTGTCCTCGTCTCTTTTGTCTTTTTCTTCAACCCTTTCTTTTTTTCTTTTTCAAAACAATATTTACTTGTATTTTAATTTTAATAAAAAAAAATTAAAGTAGAAGAGAGAAGTTTCACTCTCATGAGTCATGACCCCGGCGTTATTATAACCACCCCCCTCACAATCCGCTTGCTTACTCATTCTCATTCTCTCATCCTTTTCTTTCTTCTCTCCTTTGTTTTTTTTCTCTCTCCTTCCCCCTTCAACTAAGCCGTTTTTCTTGGGGGTGCTCTTCAGATCACTCATCACGCACCCTATAAATCCAAATTCATAAAACCAAATTCATTCAACCAATTGGCCCTGGGTTGGAAGCAATTGAGTTGAGGGGAATGTTGTCTGGCTCGAGGACGAGGACCCGCCTTTTCACCGTCGTCGGACCAGGCTTCATTCCCCCTAATTTTATCTGCTTCCCTTACACCTCTTTTTCCTCCTTCTCAGGTATTTTTCTCTCTTTTTAATTTTATTAAAAATTACTCCTATAATAAAGATAGAGTTTGTACGTGTTGCAGAGGTTTAGGTTGGTTGATTGGTGTAATGATGATAATTTTTGACCCTAACTCTAACTAGATTCTGTAAGTGTGCTCAGAATATAAAGTTTTTTTCATCATTACTTTCCTTGATTTTTTTTTTTTTAATGATTATTATTATTTGGCAGTTTATTTGTCAGTCATTTTTCATTCTTCAAATTCTTCATCATTTCCTCATCATTATACCATTGTTTCATAGGGATTTGTCTACCACCCATGTGTGTGTTTGTGAGAGAGAAAGAGATTCTCTTCAGATCTACTTTCCTTTTCACCTTTTCACTTCTTCCATCTTTCTCCCCTTTTTTTCTCTCTGCTAGTGTTTGTTTTTTCTATTTTTCTTTCTCAGTTCTTCAGATCTATTATAAAATTTCTCGTTTTCCATTTTCAATGTGTTCATGTTCACACCATCTAAACCGTCTAGTTACTAGAGAGAATCGCAATCGAATCACATCTGGTCCTATTCATACTTTAAATCTTTCTATTAAGCTAATTTCAGATCTGTTATACTAAAAGATCTCAACTTTCCATAGCCTGAAATAATATTGCACATTCTCGGGTATATTCTAGTATTCTACAGTAAAATACGGAGTAATAATTATACCCGATATCTCTGAACCATTCTTATAGGGGTAATTTAGTTTTAATGATTATGAATAGGGAGTACTTGTTTTGTTTAGTTGTGATAAGATAGCTTATTGATTTTAATGTTGGTTTTGATTGAATGCAGGATTCTAGAGAATCAGTGCACTCGATTTAATGAGGCTTTGTTTATTGCAACTTTATTATCTTTACTGACGTTCTCTGGGTTTTAATTGCCTCATGAGTCATTACTTATCTATCCTATACTTATTCAATTAATAATCAACTATCTTTTACCTCTCAACTCCGTAGTTATCACGGAGTACTGTACATTTACTTGTCTAGCTGATTGCCGAACAGCTAACAAACTCTTATGTTAAGCACATAATAATCGTCCTTTGTTAATTGCCTAACTATACTAGTACCATTAAACGAAACTATTAACCAACTTTGTTGTGCTTATTAAGACTAATGTTATTAATTAAACACATTATAATCGTCCTCTATTAGTTGCCTATCTGTATTAGTACTATTAAACCAATGAAACCCTCACCCATATAATTGCGAGATAAAAAGGATGAGAAAACAAGTCAATGAAAAGAACCCCTAGTAAAGAGAAAGATGGGTAGGTGAAGCAGCTTTCTATTGAAGAATGTAGTACTACAGAAACATGGGTAAAAACTGTTACAAAGTGGGTTAAAAATGGTGTGGGTACAGATTACCATGCTCTCTATCTTTTTGCTAAAAGCCTACAACTTAACTCTTTACAACATTACTTTCTCTCTTATTTTACCCTTTTTTTTATATAAATTTATTTAGTGAAGGGGTTAAATAAGCTACTCAACGTGTGACATGCTGTGATGAGAAAACACAGACAGAAAAAGAAAAAAAAAAAAGGTAAACAGTTGATATGAAAAGATAAGAGCGGAAGTTTTTATGCACTACACTACTCAGAATATATAGGTTGGTATTATGGTATAGTATTGTCTCTTGTTTTGTGTTACAGAATGCAGGGCAGTACGTACAATTACACTGAGGCAGGCAGCTGATTGATGAGAAACAAACAGAATTGTACAGCTTATATGTAATTATGTCCTAGGATTTCATCCTTAAATTGCTAATTTCATATGATTTGTTTTGTTATTGGTTAAATTGTGTCAAGGTATGATGATCTGAGGAGCGAAACATTAGTTTAATTAGTGATCAATCACTAGATTGACTGTGTATATGTAAATTTGAAAAGTTACATTATGTAATATGTTGGTGCAATGCCACAAATCTTTGTTTGGGATGGTACTGTTGTTTGGATTACGAAACAAGATTTGAATTATTAATTATGATGTTGAACATATGAGTGATCACAAGTTAAGTCTCTTGATACTATACTAATGTCTTTGGATACCTAAGAGAGGGCCAAGTGTTGTGTTCAAGGGTGGATAATAGGTTTGTTTTATACGCAGTGTTTCAACTTTGATTAGATTGATTGCTAATATAGTTTATAAAGAAAACATGATTAGTGACAGTCTTACTTACCACTACAAGAAAATAACCTATCAAAAGCTTTCCCAACCCAATCATTTTCTTAAAAAAAAAAAAAAAAACATGCGTGTGATCTTTACAAGATTCGAACATGCTAATATAGTTTGAGTGATCACAAGTTAAGTCTCTTGATACTATACTAATGTCTTTGGATACCTAAGAGAGGGCCAAGTGTTGTGTTCAAGGGTGGATAATAGGTTTGTTTTATACGCAGTGTTTCAACTTTGATTAGATTGATTGCTAATATAGTTTATAAAGAAAACATGATTAGTGACAGTCTTACTTACCACTACAAGAAAATAACCTATCAAAAGCTTTCCCAACCCAATCATTTTCTTAAAAAAAAAAAAAAAACATGCGTGTGATCTTTACAAGATTCGAACATGCAACCTCAAACTCTTATACTTATTGTTTCACCAATAAGTTATGACATATTTTATGTATTCTTTGTCAAACAATATTTACATATCTAGTGTTGAAAAGGCTTTTCGTATCGATTTTTAGGATTTAGTGGCGATTATAAATGATACGATTTCTCAAAATTATATAAATGTGTAAAAATAGTGTGGATATGTATTATTATGTTCTCCGTATCGATTTTATATAGGAAAACCATGGCGATTGTAAAAATGATACGACATCCTTAATTATTTCACAAACATACTTGCATATTGTAGCGAATGTACAATCGCTACGAAAATATATTTTTCTTGTAGTGTACTCCAGCTATGTTTTGTGTGGTTGATATTGTGTTTATGTCTAAATTGAGTGAATATTAGTCAAATTCTTTCATTCTACTTTCAATATGCATGTGATCTACTTGTTAATGCTCTTCAACCAAGAAAATCTTTTTTTTTTGACAAACTTTTTGGATAATTTGTTAATATACCCCATCACTTCTAAACATAGGAGTAATAAGTCTTTAATAGTGCTAAATAACAGAAAATGGTATTCATGACAGACTAGTTGATTTAAAGTCACGAGGAAGTAAACCATTTCAATTTAAAAACAAATTATAAAATTATTATGCAAATTAAGTTGATTCTTGATGTGTCTGAAGATTAGTATGTACGGAGTAAAAATAACTTATGTTTTGGATTGCAAAGTACATTAAGTGACTATTAGTTTTGCTCTCTTAATTACATTATTGTACTTTAATTCACTATTCAACCTAAATTAAAGTATTTATATAAATCATTACTATCACCTAAGTATTTGAACAATATATCTAGCCAAGTTCTGGAAACAAATTTAACAATTATTGATCATATGCAATGAATTTGTGAAGTTGTTAGTTCAAAGATTTTTAAATCAGATTAGTACATTTGGTCAGCATTGTTTTTACAACAACTTGAGAAGTAGTTGGAGTTGGTAGCACAAAACAGAAAAAAGAAGAAAGAAAAAGAGCAATTATGTTATCCAAATATGATGTAAGACGACGTGATTTATTATTGATTACAAGCTTTTAACTATTACTAACATCTCTTTCATAAAGAAGTCAAAAGATTATATCTTATCAAAACTTTTAGTTAAGGGAAATTCAAAGTATTACAAAAAATTATGTTTATGGCTGTTTTATATCTGAAAGAAGCCGTACAAAATAACGTTTACTATCATCTTTAAGCTTTTGTCCTTATACAAGTCAATACCATAAAGGACTAATAATGGAGTAGAGCATAGAAAGATTAGGACTTATAATTGACATTATAAAGTATACTTATTGTTGGAAAGATTACAATCTATATATTACGACGTATCAAATAATATGCATAAGCCATAGTGATGACCCGTGAACGGAAATACAAGTAATGAATTATAACGTTGATGATAGAGGCAGCGGTGGGGATACAAGTTAATTAATGAGGAAAGGTAACAAGAGAAATGACGATATTGGTTGCGATCAACTGTTCCCTCGCACACAGGCAATCAACATCAATGGTGTATTGAGATTTCTAAGGAGGACAAACTTAATTAAAGATAAGGACCTCCCTATCACAAAATTAAGTGCATTGTTTTCCACTGAAATTAAAGACAACCAAGAACCAATAAATCCAACAAGGATTTTTATTTTAAAACAACTATGGCCTAGTGTTCAAGCACTTACGTCGTTGATCAAAACTCTTATTTATGTTGTTTTACACAAATTAAATAATCATTAATCACTCACCATAACTTGTAATCCTAGACAAATAGGTTGTAAAACTTAATTAAGACAACAAATGCTGTCTAATAATTTTGAATTTCCTAAACAACCTATTCTAATTTAATTGTAGTTTCTAGTCCAGTGGACAAAACCTTTGGGCTAGCCCACGTTGCTTTATTTTTGCAGTCACTCAGTTGATTCCAGCAAAGTAAGCCTTTTGAGCCCGCCACTATGTCCAGAATCATGGGCCTAGTTTTAATGTTTTATAGTCCAACGATATTTATGGCCCATATTAAGATTCTATTTGGCTCTTTGAAACGCAGCTCGTCCGTAACAAAAACATGAATTACACAAGTCAAGAAATAAGGAATATTTACTTTATGATTCCAGTGGAATTATGCAAAAAATAACATCTTATTAGCATTGGAAAATAGTATCATTGGTATTAAAAAACTTGTCTCCATCCCGTCAAAAAAAAAAAAAAAAAAAAAGAAAAAAAATAATCTTGTGTCCATGGATTGAGAACCATGCTTTGCATTGTAATTTTAATCTGATTAATGTGCAGGGTAGATGATCAATTAGACTGATTGATAACTTAAGTCATATTATTGATTATTAAACACTTTTATTAAGCTGCAAATATTTCAATCAAGGTTTGATGATAGGTATTGAAAGCTTTATGTTGTATTAATAATCATTATTAATTTTTCTTTTTATTTTTGGAAACATAATCATTATTAATTAAACTAAACCATTGTAGTCTTATTTGTTAATGTAAATTATTAAATATCTAAGTTTGATGATATTGTACTCTTATTCTATGTTACATGATCATTAAACTAAACTTTAGAAACTATTAAAAAAAAAAAAAACCAATGCAATTTTGTTTTTGACCTTACATTGAAATTAAAGTTTATGTTTGCTGTCAAAAACTAATTTATTATTGTTTATACAAATTAAAAAGCTAATATTGTTATTATTCGAGAATGTATATGCATCGATTGCGGATCATGAATAATTGGACCCTAAAAATATTGGTTGAAGAAGAAAAGTAGGAAAACAAATTATGATCCTGTATTAGCAAATTTCCAGAAATTGCGGGTGCCCACAAAGTTTGGGAGTACAAATATTGTTCTTCTAATGTACCTTTCTATCCAAAGGACCCACTTGTACTCATTTTCTGTATAACTTTCGGCATTATTTTATCAATTGGCAGTTTGTTTATGATTTTTCTACGTAATACTGGTAAATTGTAATTAAAAGTGAAAAACATATGAACAATTAAAATAAAAAATTGTTTAGACTTATAAAAAGATAAATTGATTGATATTAATTATATATATATATATATTTTTGAGGCAACAACCTTAGAGCATCTCCAATGGCAAGCTACAATGCTTTGTAGCTTGCTTTTCTATATAATTTTTTAAGCTACAACACCTTTTAGCAATAAAGTGTTCCAAAGGTAAGCTACAACATTTTTTAGTTTGTAAAAAATAAATTTTAATAAATAAATAAATAATTATACACATGTTACAATATAAGTGGAGTTTATTTGTCTCTTTTTCAATCAAGCATGTAGCTTGTTTGGGCTACAATTGCTAGCATGGTGCTCAATTTTTTGTTCTCCAGTGGTAAGCATGTAGCTAGAAATTTTATTTATATTGCAACAAGTCCTTACAATTAAACCATTGGAGATGCTCTTAGGCCCTTAGGCATTTGAAAAGTATAAATCATGCTATTTTGGAAAATATTAAGAAGGTTAAACTTAAAATTAGCGGGTAATATTTATAAATGAAACTAATCTAATATGGTTTAAATAGATTGTAGAGTATTTCCATCTCAACCAATTTGTTAATGTGAATTTAATTACTCGGTAACATATAAATCTCACATCCTATGCATGTACTTTTTTTTTTTTGACGGGCCGTGCATGTACTTTATTGTACTTTTATTGACATTAAACATATTGTTTTTTATTATTTCCTTCATGTTGGATTGGCCGTCCCTAAAAAAAAATTAAAAATCATTGAATATTTTAATTATTTATATACCTCAAATCCTATAATTTTGAAAATTCTAATTATTTAGGTTTATCAATCAAGATAAAACAATATTTATTTATTTTTATTTTTTAAAAATAATATGACCATAACCATCCAATTAGTCCGCAACCTCCTAAATCTCACCCAAATTAAAGTCACTAACCCTAACATCACTCTGATTAGGAATCCTTCTCGCCACTTACATTACGCATGATAAAAAACATGAACCCCCACTTTTATCTTTTTTCCCCAGGAAAACAAGATAAAAAAAAACAAAAACAACCCTACCTTTAGAAAACTCCCAATTGGGCCCCACAATTAATGGGTTGTTAAGTATTGTACTCCTATTTAAACCCAAATTCATCCCAACCAAAATCCCTCTTTTTCCTCTTTCTATATAATTCCCCTCTTTGCTTATTCAATTCTTTCACAAATTCTAGGTTAAACATGGCAATCTCTCAAACCCTCCATCTTTTCTCCAAAACAACTCCCCCAATTTGTTTCGTCTTCCTCTAATACACCCATTAATTTTCCCCATTTTTTTAACCCTCAATTTTCGTAATTTTTTTTTTCGAATTAAATTCTCCAGTCAAAGAAAGATGGTTCACCTGCATCTACCTCACAAGAAGCAGCAACACCATATTCCGAAGGGTTGTTTGGCGATAAAAGTGGGGCTCACCGAAGAAGAACAGCAAAGATTCGTGATACCAATTTCGCATTTCAACCACCCTCTTTTTATGAAGCTTCTTAAAGAAGCCGAAGATGAGTACGGTTTTCATCACAAAGGTACCATCACTATTCCTTGCCACGTGGAGGAGTTTCGTTACGTTCAAGCTTTGATTGATCAAGAGAAATCCCTTCATCATCACCATCATCACCACCATCATAATCATAATCATCACCATCATAATCCTATTGTTGGTTGTTTTAGGGCTTGATTGATTTTAGTTTAGTTTTGATCCAACGGTTGTAATCTTTTCTTGTAAATTCCGTCAACCTGGATCCATGGATTAGTCGTTTTATTTTTCATTAGTCGTTTAATTTTGGAGGGTTAAGGGGTTAATTACTTCTTTTGTTTTAGGTTTGTTCTTGAAATCATGATTATGTTGCGACATTATTGTGATATCTATCAAATATGATGACGATATTTTTTCAATAAAGGATTTCTTTTTTGTTTTTTTTTTTTATTTTTACTGTTGATATTATTTTAATTTTGTGATATTAATTAAAGAATGACGAGATGATGATGAAAGAATTATGTGACATGCAAACAAATAGTCGTTAGTTGTAACAAATTATGTGATGAAATTAGAATATCATCCAGTGGGTGCGAAAGGAGAGAGAAAAAAAATAAATTAAAAAAAAAAAAAAAAGGCAGGAAAAAGCGCGCAACTACTAGAATTTTTTTTTGACTAATTTTGCAAAATTAACACTATTCAATTTGCGTGAATCATTATGAGTTTATTTATGTCATTGTTTTACAAGTCTTTTTCTAGATTTTTTTTCCTTTCTTTCTTTTGGATGCCCGACCTTTAAGAGGTTATTTCGTATTTTACACTAGTGTTATTCGTTGGCTATTATTATTTTTAATTCTTTGAAATTTGAAAAATAAAAAGGAAATAAAAGAGAGATTGATTAAGGGTCTGTTCAAATTTATTGAACTGATTAAAGAGTGAAAGCGTTGATTTTATGGAACCAAAAACAATTTTTTGTTATAAACACCAAATTAGTTTGATTTAGTTATAAGGGTAATTCATGTGAAAAGAACGAATGAAGCCAGTTCAGCTCAGCTCTGCTCTTAATTTATGTCTAATGATATTGCTAATGATAAAGCCAAATTTCATTCTTTTAAGATCTTATTACAACGACAACAACAACAAAAATAATAATAATAAATAGTATATAAAAATAATAATAATAATAATAATAATAATAATAACAATAATAATAATAATAATTGAAATAATAATAATAATACTAACAATAATAATCAATAAATAATAATAATCATCAATAAATAATAATAATAATAATAATAATAACAATAATAATAATAATAATAATAATACTATAATAATACAAATAATAATAATAATCAATAAATAATAATAATTAATTAATAATAATTATCAATAATTAATAATAATAATAATAACAATAATAATATTGATACAAATCATTGTTCAAATGGTTCTATTTTTTTGAAACATATTTCTAATGTTAATCTCATTGAGAAAATAAGAGGTTTCAAGTTTTTAATATATTTTCCATACATTTTATAATATATTTTCCATACATTTTATAATTATAATTATATAGTATATTTTTCGTAAATATTTTAATATGTACATTTGTATATACACATATGTATAGTAATAAATATCAATAAATAATCAAAGATCACTAATCCGTAGTTAAAAATCACTAATTAATAAGTTCAGTTCAGTTCAGCTCGGTTCAGTTCAGTTCAGTTCAGCTCGGTTCAGTTCAGTTCAGTTCAATTCAGTTCAGCTGAGTTCAGTCAATCGGAACAGGCCCTAAGTTCGAGTTCAAGGAAGCGTGTGTGAGCCACACGTTACTATGTTTAACTCTTGGCCATGGTTGTTTATTCTCCTAGATTTTTGGCAATTTGTTGATTTTTAAGATTTGATTATGACTTTTATGAATGTTTATTGGTAACTGTGAATTATTTGAGAAGCTTATTTGGTATAATTCCTTGAAATATCCAATTATATAAATGATAAGATTTCTGTCATATTATACCACTTAAAGGATTCTTTCCAAAAAAAATAAAAAATATCCCACTGAAAGGATTGATTCTTGACCAATTTCTTATACTGTCATTATTGTTTAACATATATGATCATCAATGATTGTAGTAGTGGATACTTAAATAATTATTCATCTTACTTCTCACTAACTTCAACTCTGATTTATTCTATTTTATTTATTGTATTTTGTCAACCTTATTTTAATAAACCCACTAGCTACTTGATCTGAATCAACTGATGATATAAACATTGGAAAATACAAGGAAATGCAAGTAAATGATATTGACCATAAATTAACATTAACAATATCAAACAAGATGAGATTTTGTTAGGCATTCTTTGATTCTAATGCTAGGCATATTCTCAATTTGAGCATAACTTTAATTTCAATTCACTAACACATAATTAACAAATGTAATAATGTAATAACCTACTAGAAATCTGATGTTTTTAATAGTATTCAATATTTTATTTTTTAATTTTTTAACCTTCTTGCCTACTATTTGTATTTTAATGTATTTTCTAAATATCAAACATTATGATTTTTACTACAAATATTTATTCTTCTTCTTCTTTTTCTTTTTTTTTTTTTTTTTTTTTAGGAATCATGCTTTTTTTCTTTTAATTACTAACATTTCACTTTTGTCAATGCTTAATCTATAATACTCTATCTTCATTTACATTTTAGTAAAAACTATAAAATTAAGGAATTAAACATGAATACTTTGAAAGTATATATTGAGACGAATTTAATAAAATCCCATGTAATGAATATAATTAATTGAGATATTGCTTTAAAAAAAATTAATTGAGATATTAATAATTAAAAATGTATATTAATGATTATAAATTGGCATAAGAGAAGTACAAGTAGCAATTAAAGATATATTTAACATAAATAAATGTGTATATACGTATTACATGGCCTACATGTCATATAGCTTCAAGAAGACTTCAATATAACTGCCGTTTGCTTGTTTGCTTTTGCAAAACATAATTTATTGGCTGAAATAAATACAATTGTTGAACCGATCATTTCATCATAATTGTTAGCTCCAAGTATATATGTATATAAGAAAAGGTTGGCCGACAAGGCAACAATACGTATACAAGTGTATTATTTTCCTTAGCTAGTTTTTGACTAATTAACCAACAAATTAAGCTGATGTACTACTGTTGTATACATCAGATGGATTCCTTAAGACCTATAGAGGGGTTCTTTATGGACGAGCATTCACACTTAAATACTTAATCTACCCAGCTCTTTCATTATTAATGAGTCTGACCTACAAAATTATACGAGTATTAAATTAGCATCCAAGATTTTTTTTTAAGGTAAGGAGAAAAAGGCCCGCCCTACCTCAAAGTGTCATTAATGGGGATTGGACCCTAATCTAAAGGTTGGAAGGTGATAATCTTACCACTACACCAAGCTTAGCTTACGAGATGAAAGTGTCATATTAGTTATAAATTAATAACATTCTTTTTATACATGAAATGTATTTTGTAGTTCAAATGTAAAATAGGGACATCCAAACACTTGTAGAAATGCCACGCACCCAATAGAAATATTTGCAGAAAGTCTAAAATCAGTTTAGAATCAAGAAACTTTGGAAATTAAATGACATAATGAATGTAGTGAGTTGGTGAGTGTAAGACAATACAGGAAAATAAAGTGCATGGAGCCAAGAGTAAAGAGTTTGTGAGGTCTAAATTACAAAAGTCAGGTGTGAATGTCCTCCACGTTCACTACTCATAGTGTCCTACACTAATAAACCAATTCCACAATCTATTGGTCTTAGGGGCCCTTTATTAAACTATTCTTCTCGACAATTATATTGTTGGGAAATTATTCAACATGATTATACTAATACTGTACTAACAAGAATTCAAGACCCAGTAACCATTACATTAGACCATTATTATTATTGGAAAGACTATATATATATATATATATATATATATATATATATATATATATATATATATATATATATTTGAATAGTTGAAAGACTATATATTAAAGGATTTCTTCTCTTCACTTGCAATAAGCTAAGGTACGTATTTAAATTTGCTTTAGTTACGTAAGATGATCTTATATAATATAGACGTATCATATATTTGAATTATTTCCGTCTATTTTGATGTTCTCTTCATGCTCATGGTCATGTCTTAGAAAAGTGGTTTCACATTTATAAATTACATGGTGTTTGGGTCCAATTTAGTCCAATTGGGCTTAGGCATTAAATGATCCAATTAAAAGCCCAAGGTCAAGGTTCATCTCTCCAATTGTGCTAAAGTCAAAGATCAGCCCTCAAGGCAAGCCAATTGAGCTAAGGCCCAACTTCTCCATGTATGAAGAGGTATAAAAACCATCAATATTACATTTTTACACATATTCTCATCAATTTAAGAAAAGCCTCAAGCAACTAACTCTGTTGCATAGTCTTCTCTTTCAACACATTGTACTGACTTTAGCATCGGAGGGGCCTTCCTCGGCAACACCCCCGAGGCTAGTTTACGTGTGTTTACTGTGCAGGAAACCTTCGGCCCAACATTACTTGGACCGAATCTAGTCTTCTCCGTTTCATCGGACCTTCGGCAAGGTCCCATTGTTTTCACCCGAAACAATTTGGCGCCGTCTGTGGGGAAGACTTTCAAAAATCTTTAAGCCAAATTTCTAACCAAGATCATCTTGCAATTATCTTAGTAGCAATGGCTAAGAACCGCAAGAGCAAAGGCCTCCGTCAAGGAGCGGGCGAAAAGCCTAAAACCCCTACACCATCACCCTCGCCGGACCGGAACTCTCCCAAGGGTGCCAGCTCGGGGGGAGGATCATACAAGGAGGATTCCCTTTCTCCCGTAATTCATGACTCTCATCATAGGCCGAGTCACTCTCGGTCTAGCAGGGGAGAGTCCGATCATAGGACACATTCAGTGCCCCAAAGCCAACCATCGACTGTGCGCCCTCATTCCCATACTCGGCCGAGGACCCCTTTGACGGGGCCCAGCTCGGAGGAGGTGGCAAGAGCGCTGGCAGTGCTCATGGAGGCGATGAGGGCACAAAATATGCCACCACCTCGTGATCGAACTCCTCCGCATACCCGGCATCAGCGGAGGAAGCTAGACCATGATGGTGGGAAGCTTCCTTCCTTCCGGGAACTGGAAGAGTGGGAAGAGGATACCTAGAAAAATGAAAAAGAGAGGAAAAAGAACCCTCAATTTTTAAAAGGATCCTCATCCTCCCGACCAGAGACGCATAAGAGCAGCAGCTCAGCTTCTCGGCCAGAATCTACTCACCGAGAACCTGAGACTGTTCGCCGAAGCGTCCTCGACCGACTCGGCGGCAAGGAACCGAGTGTGCGCAGTCGCCTCTCGTTCCCTGCGGCCGAGGCCCAGACTTCCCAGCCAGG